ATCTTCTCTGGGAGAACAGAGGCAGAGGTTCACTTCTCCCTCACCTTGCTCCCTCTTCACCTTGCCCCCTTCAACCCTGCAGAGACCTAAAGTCCATGACCTATAGTCTTCACTTCTTTACACCCAAGTCTCTGATTCTGAAGGTATATTCTAGAACACTGATTTGTGCCAATAATTACTTAGCCCTTGCTTTCGAAGGAGGATAGAAGCCACAAGCATAAATGAAAGAAGATTTTTCTTTCTCTTAACAACCAAGGGAGTGGGGAAGGCTTTGTAAGACACAGTGAGAGAAAAACAAAATGCTTTATTCAGATAAATTAAAATGGCTGTCACTTATATGAAGTGAAGCTCAAACTGAGTTATAAAAACCTTGAATTTACCCCCTAAACTGAACCAAAATTGCTTATATGTTACCAAAATAGCTCCACTAGAACAAAAGTAGATTTGCATTACTTCATATGAGAATACAAGTTAGAGGTTAGGTTTGTATAACAAAAATTACATGCTCTATAAAATCTCTGGATACTCAAATGTGTTCTGGTTTGGGTATGAAAAAAAACAAATCTAGCTGGTGTTGGTAAGCAAGCCAAGGAGATGCACAGCAGACAAAAAGCTGTCAATAAAAACTACTAGACAGGCCATTGACCCTATGGGAGTCAAAATTCTCCACTGTGACCAGCATCACCAGCACAGGGGGACAGGGGGGTTGGAGGAATTATGTGCAGCAGTGCAAAGAAAGGAAACTGCAGTAGAATGCAAAACAGCCAGCAGCAGGGGAAGGGTGTCCACTCCTCAGCTTTGTTGCCACAGACCCATTCCTGGGTGCCAGGTACGTTGCAGCATCTTGAAGCCAGGCACTCTGTTCCTCTGGGAATTCTACAGGACCTGTTACCTCTCTGAATAATGAAGAGGCTCTTTAATGGGGCCAGGCATATATATATACAAAATAAAAGGGTCAGGAAGCAGTGCTTTGGGAAACTAAAGAAAAAAGCAGTAGGAGCTGCCATGCGGAATATCTAAAGGATTGCAAATGAAAGCCAAACTCAGATCACTACCCAGTCTTTCCCATATCACTATTGAACCTTTCTCAGAGAGCTGAGGATGTGGCAGGTGAGGCTTGAGTATAGCTCAACACAAGGACTAGATTGGGTAAGTGAGAAGTACATACCAATATAAATAATACATTAGTTATTAATATAATTAATAATAACTAATTGGTTTCTGAGGCTTGTAAGCTCGTCTTCTTAACTATAACAAAAGAAGTTGAGATAATGACCTGTTTCTTCGAGACATAGTAGTTTCTCAGGCAGGATGACAGGATCACAGGCCTCAGTGCA